AGAATGTGCAAATAAATGTCAGATTAATGACAGTTTCCTGCTTCGTTTTCTTCCTGCACCCATTAATACAACAATAGCACACTACTTCATAACACTTATTCAAACTAAAATAACTCTAAGTATAAAATAGCAGCAGTTATTAACACCATACAGTAAACACAAAGAAAATGTATGTATTTTCTCCAGTAGGTCTTGGGGAACAGCTCACCAAGATGCTCATATATGAAAAAAATTTTTATATATATATATATATATATATATATATATATATATATATATATATATATATATATATATATATATATATATATATATATATATATATATATATTTTGTGTGTGTGTGTGTGAGAGAGAGAGAGAGAGATAGATATATACATACATACATACATATTGTTTTTTTTTGTGTGTGTGTGTGTGTCACACATATATATATATATATATATATATATATATATATATATATATATATATATATATGTGCGTGTGTGCGTGCGTGCGTGCATGTTTGGGAGGAGGGGGGCGCAAATGGATAAGTTGTGTCAAAAGGGAGGCCCACTGTCTTAAACTTTAAAAAACCCTGGTCTAGTCTGTTTGAAAGAGAACCGATTACATCAGATGTGTTTCCTTACAGTTGTTTCAAGCAAGGAAACAGGAGAGCGCACGTGTTTTAATCAGTCGCGAGCATCCCCTCAGCTGTTGGTGTGAGTGAATATCCTCTAATTCAGTATTCAACTGGCTTTCTTTTGCCCACACCAACAAAGTTATATTTGTCAGTCATGCTGCTTACCCCGCTTTTAAGAAAACAACAATTTAAAAATCATTTTCAACCAGCCAAAGTGGCTAGTGGAGGTGGCTGTCTAACCCGCCACAGCTAAAATCTACCCGCATTGCAATCTACCACAAGAAATGTCAGTATTAAAGTGTATTTTCTGTATTGTAATGTAAATTACTGAACAAACCTGGGTATTGAACTACAAGTGATTTTTCTAATTTGTGATTTTTTTCCTATATCATTTCTTATATAATATTTTAATTCAAAGTACTTAAATGTCCTCATATGATTTTTACATCTAAAGTTGCCACAGCGGAGATCAAGGACCTATTATACAATTATACATTAATAATACTGAAAAAAAAAAACATAATATTGATACTATTTATTTAGTGTAAAGAAGTAAAACATGATAGTCTGAAAAATGTTTAATGCTTTCTGCTTCCTCCATAGAATGCTAAATGTGCCCTCACTCTCACATTTGCACAGTAAAAAAAAATCACAGGGAAAGTAAAAATAACACAGTGATGGTTGACATTTTTGGAAGTGTTGTGATGTTGACACCTCCCAAAATATGTCACCTTCACCAGCTGCTCTCCTCAATGTTACACTCAGACACAGCAACCAAAAAAAAAAAAAAAAAAAAACGATGTGCCACTCAAAACGGCATTCACTGCTCTAGTCTGGTTTCATTAGGCAATAACATCCTCTAACTGTTCTTCTCTGGGTTGCAGGTTCCACCACCTTGGATTATTCCCCAGCGTGTTGACCAGTAATTTTGTGCTGGTGAAGGCTGAATTTGGAGGTTGTGTGACATCTGGGGCCACATGACGGTCCAGGCTGGAAGGATAGAGGTGGCGCTAGTTGACTTTGAGACTATGGAGGGTACAGACATTGGTGTGGACAACTTCAATGACCCGGACTATCCCAACGAAATGACAACTTTAACTGTAGAAATGCCAGATTTTGGGCCTGGCACCACATACTGCAACTCTGCAAAAGTGTCGCCGTTTAAGACACCACAAAATTTGGATATACCACAATCACCCATCCTCACCTCTCACGCAAGGGGAGGACGTGCCAGCTGTGCGAGTCTTATTTCCAACTGGAAGTTACTTGTGAACAGTGAAGGAACCCAAAGTGAATCGATCTTCAGTAGACTGACCAAAGATTGCTACGAGGACTTGTTTGTTGACAAGCGAGCGCTTGATGATGGTGATCAGAAGGTCATCATTAACATTGCTGGTCTTCGCTTTGAAACCCGGCTGAGGACCCTTGACCAGTTCCCGGACACTCTCCTGGGTGACCCTATGAAAAGAATGGGCTATTTTGACCCTATGAGAAATGAGTACTTCTTTGACCGCAATCGCCCAAGCTTCGATGGGATCCTTTACTACTATCAATCTGGGGGTAAGATCCGAAGGCCTGCGAATGTACCTTTAGATGTTTTTGCAGATGAGATCATTTTCTACGAGTTGGGACAAGACGCAATGGACCAGTTTCGAGAAGAGGAAGGCTTCATCAAAGATGTAGAGATCCCTTTGCCGTCCAATGAGTTCCACAGGCAGTTCTGGCTGCTGTTCGAATATCCCGAGAGCTCAAATGCAGCCCGAGGAGTTGCTCTAGTTTCCATCTTTGTCATCGTCATCTCCATCATCATCTTCTGCATGGAGACTCTCCCGGAATTTCGAGAAGACCTGGAGATTTTTCCTACAGCAGTTTTGTCCTTCAACGAGACTTATCACTCTGGATCTCCTCTCCCAAGCTCCACTCCAAAAACCATCAGCAGCACCTTCTCCGACCCCTTCTTTATCATTGAGACGGCCTGCATCATCTGGTTCTTCTTTGAGCTCTCAGTGCGTTTCCTGGTTTGTCCCAGCAAGCGGGAGTTTTTCAACAACATCATGAACATGATTGACATAGTCTCCATCGTTCCCTATTTCGTCACTTTAATAACCGAGATTGTGACCACCACCAACAAGTCCAACACGGGGCAGAACATGTCCCTGGCCATCCTGCGAATCATCAGGCTGGTGCGAGTCTTTAGGATCTTTAAGCTTTCCAGACACTCCAAGGGGCTGCAGATTCTCGGCCAGACACTCAAGGCCAGCATGAGGGAACTGGGGCTGCTCATCTTCTTTCTCTTCATTGGTGTCATCCTCTTTTCCAGCGCCATCTATTTCGCAGAGGTGGACGATCCCAACACTCAGTTTGTTAGTATTCCTGATGGATTCTGGTGGGCTGTAGTGACCATGACCACTGTGGGTTATGGAGACATGTGTCCTATTACATTAGGTGGTAAGATTGTGGGCACTCTTTGTGCCATTGCAGGTGTTTTGACCATTGCCCTACCAGTGCCTGTGATAGTCTCCAATTTTAACTATTTTTACCATAGAGAGACCGAGCAGGAGGAGAAGCAGCCCATAGCTGAGTCAACTGAAAAAGCTTTAAAGTCAGGGAACAATACAAAACATGGAAGTAGTTCCTCTTTGAACAAGGTAAACGGGAACTGGCAGACTGAAAAAAAGTGTTAAAACGCACATTTAGCATACATGTTTCTTGAGGGCAATTCTCATCAAACTGGTCTAGGTCATATTTCAACCAAAAATCATGATATTTCACCCCATAACCACTAGTTCAGTGTTATATATTCTGCTGACTTATGTATTTGCATTATCCCAAACGAGATCTAGAGAAATAAGCATTATTATCTAGTGAGTGTGTGTGCTCTGTGACCATGCTAATTATGTCATACACTCTCGATTTCTGTTTTATTTTTAATGTATTTAGACAAAACAGGGAAATACCAAAGTGGCTTTATTATGTTGTGTGTTTTATTTTTTTATTAGACTGCCCAGGGGTGCGTTTCCCAAACAGCCACATAACTCGTGGCTGAACTATCATAGTACCATGCATCGTTTGGCAAAGTAGTGATAAGTGTTTTACAAAACCGTAGTTGCTTTGTCGCAGATCTATCAAGTGAATCACATTAGTTGTAACATAAAACGTCTATAATGATGCTCTAAAAAGGATGGAGTAATAACTTCTTTAGAGAAAAACCTCATACTTTTTTTGTGCAAATTATATTGTTTTAAAGGCACACGCCAAATCCAATTTTAGTTTTGATAAACATGCACTTGTTTTACATATTATTTTAATATATGTTAATGGCACATATAGAGTCTGTTTTTTTTTACCAAGATTATTAAGAATATGCCATTTTCTGTTATAAAACATAAAATCCACTTAGCTAAAACTCTAATCTAATATATAAATCATATAAATTGTTAAGCTAATAGTTGTAATTTACAGGAGGCTATTTATTAAGACAATAAAAATCCTACTCGATAATAATAATAATAATAGAAATAATAACAATAATTAATATTTCTATCAATTTATTATGATTGTTATTATTATTATTACCTGAAACTGAACTGTAAAAATAGTTTGAAAGCAAATTAGACCTAAAAGAAATTACTTTAATGTTTTTTTAACATTCAGTCATCCAAGTTTAAGTGTTGGAACAATCTAACTGAATAGGACATCGGGGGGATAACTGGGGATTGAACATATACTTCTAACTACAGCTCTAGAAGTGCAGTTGGAAACGTACAAGTTTCCAACACAGTTTACGAATACATACCTGCCAACATAAAATCTGGGAGATTGTATCCAGGGGTGCTTGTGAAGTAAAAAAAAAAGGGGGAGGGGAGGGGGGGGGTGCGCGAAGTGCAGAGCTGGGGGGGTGGAGGTAGGTGGTGTGGAGTGCGTGCAAAGTGAAGAGTGCGGGGGTGGGGGGATGGGTGCGTACGAATTTGGTATGAAGATGGTTGCGCGTTGGGTTTATGTGCATGGGGACTGGACCAAAAAGCTGAGGGGGGGAGGTGGGGTATTCCTGAAGTTCCGGTGTGTACGATGTGAAGAGCGGGTATGAAGATGGTTGCGCGTTGGGTTCATGTGCATGGGGACTGGACCAAAAAGCTGAGAGGGGGCGGGGGTGTATTCCGGGAGTTTTCCGGGAGACAGAACAATACAAGAGATGGGCGGGACATGGGTCTGAAATAGGGGAGAAAATGGAAATGGGAGTGTTGGCAGGTATGCGAATATTTGTTGGAACGATGGACTTGGGAAACATCAAATCGATGAACTATGTTCGTAACCATGGAACTTGCAACCTTAGTTGGCTAATGATGGTTTTCGGAAACGCCCCCCAGAGCAGCATTATGACAGAAGTCTATATATTAGCAATGAGTGTTTCTGCCTTGCAACAATTTCTTATTAAAATAAGGCAACTCATTTCTATATTGATTTTGTTGTGAAATATGACCCAGGCAGGTTTTTATGAGATTTATTCAGTAATTGCTTATTATTTATGTTTCAGTGTTCGCTAGGTTTTTTTTAATTTTAGAAAATTTATGCTAATGTTACTCAATTTCAATGATTTAAAAGATATAACAGTTTCTCTGAATATGTACGGTACAGAAACTAGATGGATTTTCATCTGTGTTGCATAATCCTATTATTAAATTATAATTCAACCTAAACCATTGCATAATCTCTTAAAACTATATCTAATCCACTGTTTTAATTATAAATTACCGGATCACTCTGAAATGAAATGAGTAAGTGCATTTTGGTGGCTTAATGCTTCTACCAGCAAATTACCATTTTGGGTAACCTCCAAAAAGGTGCCTTTAATATTTTTCTCCTAAATCATTGTCATATTATTGCCTCTATGTATGTATGTTGTAATGTAATTCCAAATGAGATTGTGTATTTTTTAAGTACATCATTTTGCATCTGAAAGGATGGAAGTATATAGTTTCTTGTGGCACTTTAGAGGAAGCTCAGCCAATGATGAGACGAAATGTATTTAGAGTTTTCCACTCACAGTCCATTTCCACGAGCATATCAGTGCCTTCCACTCAAATGTGAGGCTGTCATACAGGTTTTATGTTGAGTGGGATTCATTTCCTCCTGTTAATGTTGTCTTGAGTTGAAAGCAACAGACCTACTGTATCAAGACTTATTTTCTCAGATTGAACAGTTGTCATACTGTGTTCTTTGGGGATAAAAAAAGAAACAACATTCTCCAAAGGACTATATATATATATATATATATATATATATATATATATATATATATATATATATATATATATATATATATATATATATATATATATATATATATATATATATATATATATATATATAAAAATTTTTTTCATATATGAGCATCTTGGTGAGCTGTTCCCCAAGACCTACTGGAGAAAATACATACATTTTCTTTGTGTTTACTGTATGGTGTTAATAACTGCTGCTATTTTATACTTAGAGTTATTTTAGTTTGAATAAGTGTTATGAAGTAGTGTGCTATTGTTGTATTAATGGGTGCAGGAAGAAAACGAAGCAGGAAACTGTCATTAATCTGACATTTATTTGCACATTCTGCCTCTATTCTTTTCAGATTTCCTGAACGTTGTGATATTTGTGCTAGAGAATGAACTGTACGTTTGAACAAACTTTAGAACTTGAATGAAATGAAATGAAACTCCGGGAACTTGAATATCACGTGCTTAGCCTGACAACTGATCATAGATGGTTGTTCATTCATGACTGTAAATAAGTGACTACATAAAGCCATTCAATGTGGTAATTACGGTGTACTGTATGAATTAAAATGATACATGATGTACTTGCTGTGTGTTCGACATGAAACTTTAGTATGATTTGCTCCTTCTCAAATGATGGTTCTTATTAGGAGCGCACCTCTTTTTTTTAAACTTTTAAACATTTCCTGACAAATTAGCCACTTTTCTGACATTTTTTTCCCCTTTAGAACTGCAAGTTTGTCTTATTCAAAATTGTGAGGCATTTGACAGTTTGTAAATTTATGAAATCGGAAAACTGTAAGATACACGATTATACATTTTGTCTTTGCTTTTCACATCTGAAAGTTCATAATATTTGGTAATATTTATTCTTGCAAGTGATTTATATATATATAAAATTTAAAGTTAGAAAGTTAGTTAGAATTACAAGTTAAATATTATACTTATCAGAACAATATACAAATTATGAGCTAATGTTGCTACTTGATTACAAGTAGACTGTTAGGTTGGGGTTGGGGATAGAGCAAGTTGACATGTACATGCATAGTTTCTTATAGTCAGTTAAATGTCTGTTGAAGTAGCAGTATCAACAGATATTAAGCAGACAGTCTACTAATACTCAAATGGACCATCAATAAAACCCCTAACGTTACACTTGTGTTGTCACGACTCGCTCTCTCACAAAGGCACAGATCGCAGGAATTATCAAAACATGCATTTATACACTAACACATACTACAAGCACTGGAACACACCCACATAGGAGTACAGGGTCTTTCAGTAATGACGTTCAGGCCAGACAAAGAACTAGATTGGACTGGATTTAGACAGAGGTAATTACTGTATCCAACACAATCTTACAGCATTTCGTAACTTTTTGATTTAGTTTCTAATACGTATTAAATTTGTACGACCTATTCGTACAATTTAGTACGATTTGCTCATCCCCCAATGACGGTTGGGGTTAGGGGTGGGGTTAGGTAAGGTGCCACACCTTCTTTTTAAAATCATACATTTTGTCAGTTTAGTCAAAGAGCTTAGAATGACCAAGAAGTGACACTCAATAGAACGTTCCATTGCAACAGCAGTGCCCAGCAACAGCCCCGGATTCCGCCATTTTGGAGTGAAAGCGATCGGCCGCCCATTGGATCTTATTGCTGTCGCGATGGCAAGCAGCTGCTTTGTTTTTTATTTATTTATTTAAAAAGCGCATTAAAGCTGAGATACAACCTGAAAGACGACAATACAACACTTACTATCACAATCATCAGCACTTTTAATAGTTTATTAAACAGGCTTTTAATATGATATTTAATATGAGTTTTCATTCCAAAATGGCCGCCACGCCCTCTAGTGGCTGTTTCCCAAATTACACTAGAGTGTCGCCTCTTGCTCATTCTAAGCTCTTTGGTTTAGCGGCGAATTCGTACGAGTTCAGTCATACGAGTTCACCACTAAACTGACAAAACGTAAATTACTTACGTTTCCTCGTGAGATCAGGCTGCTGTACCCTATTATTTTGTATTCCCCTCACCACCCATTTATTTTTTTATTTTTTCATACTATAACTATACATATTACATTCTATATCCTATCTGCTAAACCCGTGATCTTTAAGAAATATAATAACTGTCGCTTAATGTCTATTAATGTTTTTCCTAGTATATCCTTTAGGGTGTATCCTTGAAACCCTATTTTCTTAATTTTTCTTTTAACTTTATTTTTTCATTGTCATACTTTTTACACTCAAGCACCACATGTTCCACAGATTCAATAATATTACAATATTCGAATCTTCCAGATATGTGTTAACCTACATGCAAAGTTGTTTAATCTACAATGTCCAATCCTCATCCCAGTTAGGATAATTTCTTCTTTTCGATTTCTTTCAATAGCCCTCCCTACCCCAACCTTCTGTGTAATACTATATAAATGCCTTCCTTTCTTTTCTTCATCACAACTTTTCGGCCATTTTTTCATAATGGTTTGCAAAACATTAATATCATTTTGAACACAGCCTCATGACGAAAGTTATAGGTGGGCTATTATTTAAAAGCGAAATTTATGTTGCGTCTCCAAAGCTTGTGAAAACAAAAAACATTGTATATGTTAATTCTTTCAACTTATAGATTATTTATTAAGTATGTATATGACATGGGCCTGTTGGTTAGAACTTTTTTGCTGTGGTTTGCATGTGTCAAATTGTAAAAGTGGACTTTAAAAAAAATTAAATAAATAAACAACATCTACTTAATCTATCTATTTAATAATAATCATCATCATCATCATCATATTGTTATTAATATTATTATTAAAGTAGGATTTTTTAAATTTCCCAATAAATAATAAATATAAAATGTCATTTTATTATAAACAGCTTCATTTTTTATTTATTTATTTATTTATATGATTTATAAATGATATTGGAATATGTGTTAGCTTTAGTAAATGATTTTATGTTTTAGAATAGAATATTTAATGTTCAACTTCTCAATCATAATAGTAAAGTAAACACAGGCCCTATATGTGCCATTTATATTTATTTCAGTTAATATGGAAAGCGAGTGCATGTTTTTACCAAATCTAATATTGGATTGTATTTTAAATGCATGTGCGTGTAAAACAATATAACTTGCACAAAGAAATGATGTGGTTTTCCTCTAAAGAAGTAGTTACTCCACCCCGTTTAGAGCGTCATTATGGGTGTTTTACGCTATAACTAAT